ACCGAGGAATTGATTTTGGATTGGAAATATAAATAAAAGTGATAATAATAGCTTGAGTATTTATCAGGGAACTCGGCGAATTTCCCGGCTGCCAGGAAAACGTGCCAGGATCCAACGATTCTTTTCCGCAGTCGTTAGGGAGGCTTCTATAATTGAAGGCACGACCTTTGCCGTTTCAGCGACTGAACGGTGGCTGCAACTCCATTTAAAAGGATTTATCGTACCGATACACGATTCCTTTTCATTTGGTTAATCAAGAGGAAGCTCTCGAGTAATGCAATCCTCAGTATTTTACTCGGAACTGTACTCACGCCGAATCGAGCAAATTTATAGAGCATTATATCACGTAGTATTAATTAAGATATGGAAATGTCACCGATTTAATACACCAAATGCAATAAGATATAGTATAATAGATTAAATTAGTTTTCTTCTTTGATTAATAATTATTTGATTCACACTGACGAATCGATCAGTAATTTTAGCAAATAATACGAAATTGTAAATTATGTTATACACTGAATTAATAATTATATGGAGCATATTAATAAAGATATTAATATCTCATCAAATTGAAATTGCAAATTAAACACAATCCATTAAACAATAATTTAAAATTGCACGAAATAACACGAACGATAAAAAATCGTCGTTTTTACAAATTTACCAAGACTAACAATTCTCTTTACGTACAATTCGTCTTTTTCGATATTAATTAAAAACCAAATTCGTCGAAATAAAAATTTCCAACTAAAACTGATTAATAAAATCAGACTCTCCGAAAATAAAATTGATTAAATTCGCTCTCTTTTACAAATAAAATAATTCCAAAGTAAGGAGACGAATTACGTTCAAAGAATTCCATAATTTTCAATTGTGAACTCCATAGCTCATGAAATAAACAACCAAGAAGACGAACTATACTTTAGAGGTGGAATCGATGTAAAATTTAGGAGGCATCCCGTCAGAGTCGTGACATTAACGATTAAAAACAAGCTTCCCACGCTGGGAGAATTGTATTATTGAACGACAATGATCGAATTTAGGCTACGTGGGCACGGATTTATACAGAACTGGTTGGCAGTCACGTATTATCCTCCGGATTCCAACCGGGTTGACCTAGAACTCCGGCAATCCGGCTGGAAACCCGTTCCTGGCCTACGAAACCTCCTAAATCATCCGGAAACCTGAGGATAGGGGCGAGCATCGCGTGGAAACGCGACTTTAACGATAAAGGCCAAGGGAAACTGGAGCGCTTTCGATGAGACCCAGATTTGAATCGCGTTTTGCCCTGGTACGGTGAACTCTATTTAATACCTGTACAACTTCAAGGATCATTGCCACGTCACGTTTCACTCCAATCTACCATTGCTTCGTTTTAAATATTGAATTAACAAATTCTAGTTGGAGGAATCACAGAATTTTTTGTATATTCATACAATTTTAATCAGATTTTTCTAAACTAGCAATGCTTGGTTCTAAATATTGTATTAATAAATTGCAGTTGGATGAATCAGACAAT